ATTATTGTTTGTTTTAAACTGTGAGAGAAGATGAATTGTGTACTAGAACACACCTCTGAGGCTCTGACCGAGTATTTAGGGCAAAATGTGCCTTCATATTTGGCTTCGTATAGCGTTTATATTAAATGTTTATATTTATAAAGCTAAAGTCTGGGTTTATAAACTGAAACATGACCTTTAGTTTTTGATATTCTTCATAGTCGAGTTTAAATTGGCCTAATTTATAGTTAGTTACCACTAGAAATGCGACGATATTTTGTTATATCATATATGCAACAGTGTTTTATACAAGTACAACTTTTGAATAATATGCGATTTGGTTTTGTTTCAGATACTATTACATGTTGCTTCATTTTACCATAAATTGTGTTAAAAAAGTGATTTGCTCATTTGGCTGATGTTACAGTTTTCTGATGTTTTGTTTGGATGATAGTGGAACAATTTCAATATGAAAGTGCAGGTGTCTTTAGACATGAGCCATAATGTATATATCAAAATACTGATAAAATCCGTTTCCAGCTTGATTGTTTTGCATTTGTTGTATTTGCATTGTTGCAGACAAAGTTGTGCAATGGTGGGCTTTTGTCACATACTGGTATGTAATTCCATGTGCCTGCATGTACAGTACTTTGATGCCTCAAGAGATGCTTCGAATGTGTAATAAAGGGCTGTTCGCAGGAGTTGGGCTGTCTGGCCTTAAATTGCATTGTTTTTATGATATTTTAAGATTGTATTCATATGACTGGACCATCTTGCCATTGCCACAATGTCTGATGTTCAAACAGGCTTTAAAATCAGGTTAATTACAATGCATGCTCGAAAATATGCAACAATTTCACTGCTAATAATATTCCAGAAAATCCTGCCTCTTGGGCAGATCTGGACTGATTTGTCAGAGGGGGTTGGAGGTCTTCTACTTGTGATCGGGCAAGGGGAGCTAGCCAAGGGTGCTGGGTCAGAGTCAAACTCATGTGAACAGCTTCTAAGTCCTAATTATATTGGTAAATTATGTACACTTTGGGATGGTAATGCAATTTGTAAAATATTCCACATTTTATTTAATAAAATTTAATTATATACATTGTTTTTGTTGTTTATATATTAACACCTTGGACAGTGTATATTTACACCTTTGGACCCTGTAAATAAACACCTTTGGAGGGTGTACCCATTCTAAGCCAAAGACGTTTAAGAACAATTATCAAGGTATTTGCATGATAAAATATATTTAAATATACATTACATATACATGTAATGCATGGTTCAATTCTTGCTTTTACCAAGTAAACCCAGGGATTTTCAATATCCCCCTCCTCCCGTAGAATTCACTTGAAGTGACTGGGGCAAGGTAGCTATAAGTATAAGTAGTTATATTAATTTAATTAATTAAAGTCAATTAAAATTTACAAATTGAGCTTTTTGAATATAGACCATTGCAAAATTTTTTAAAATTTGTTTAACCCTTTATAGTGGCAATGTCCCTACTTTAGTATATTACTCTGTCTGGTGCCAGACAATTTTACTCAAGGGCAGAATGTAGACTTGCCACAAGTCGACCTCGAACGAAACGTCGGCTCACACTCGCTGCTTGCGTTTCGTTCGAGGTCGACTTGTGGCAAGTCTAGGCAGAATGCTGCCACTTAATGAGTTAATATATTCTCAGAACAATTACCATCAAATTTAATCTATTTTGCTGGCAAAATTGCCTTGGAGGGGGTCCTTGATTTGTTGAGTCTTTTTTTTGGGGGGGGGAGGGGTGAGTGTTGTAAAAAACAGAATAGCAACTGGTTTCAGAATAGGAAGAATTGTTGTAATATAGGTAATATAATTCTAAGACAAATCATCCAAAGGAAGCAATCATTCTAGCTCTTGTGGTGTATGTTGCAACAGGGATGGATTTACTGGGGGAGAGGGGCTGTGCACTCCCCTGGCCAGAGGGGGTGCACGGGGGTGCTATTTTTCATGATAAAGCAAAAAATTATTACAGGCAAAATGAGATACAGTAATTTGAGTAATAACATGATGATAAGTGAGCTGTGAACAACAATTACAAATCAAATACAGTAGTAAAGCAAGACTTTGCAGTAGTGAAGCAAGTTGATGGGCGGGCGGCACACATGACCGACAGAACTCGGCACCAGAGCTGGCAGAGCAACCCCCCCCTACCAGATCATGCTGGATCCATCCCTGTGTTGCAAAATGTATTTTCTTCATAGTCAGGCCTTCACATGAATGAAGATTAGAATTGCATTATGTTATATAGTCTTAAATATTTAGGAGGGGTCTCCATTATTAAATTTAGAGATTAAAAAGGGGTCCCATGACATTTTGACATAAGAATCTCCCACGCCACCCTAGGGTATAATGAATGGTCACTTAAAGTACATGCCATCTTCTAACTGGTTGGGCACTTTGCCCCTTTTGTGATGGAAAATCTATTCCCTACCTTTATCCCCTGGGACAAAAAATTCAAATCAACTCTCCACCCTGATAATGTGCAGATGGTAACAGCAAGAACTGAAGTAAGCAAGCTTTACTGGAGTACATACTATTATTAGGAAGCATCAATTCGGACATGCTAATTTGCCAGTCATGATTTTAAACGTAATATTTCTTATCTCGTATAGAATTCTTAAGGTCTTTTAGTATTCCAAAGGTCGTAGGTTCGAGTCCCACCGCGGCCGGGCATATTTTTCAAGCTTCAAGCTTGCCCGGTGTGGATATACACTCAGAGTAACATCACAAATATCATATCTTAAGGTCTTGTTTACATTTTACTGGAAGCAAACTAAAATTCATATCCAATATTTGGGTCATATCACTCATATGTCAGTTTTGCAGCTTGCCAGCTTCAACAACATTTGGTTGCAAGGAAAACGTAAACAAGGAAAGAGCATATAACACTTCATCTGTGTTTAAAATATCAATGAATAAGTATTCCAACCATTGGCACTTTATAATATAAGTGACATTCAACAATAGATCAATAACATATACAGTATATGCAAAAGCATTTCTTTGAATCACTGTATAAACAGAGTCTTTGGAAGGGTAAAACCAAGTTTAACATCCCCAGTTCAAAACACTTTCCGTGTCCTCTTAGGCAAGCCTGTCCAGCTGGAGAACATCTGTCGTATATTTCAATGGCTGTTAATTTTGTTTAGCGAACGAACGATATTTACCAAACCCAGTTGGAAGAACAGCAACTACATAGTTCCCATGTAATAAAAGCTGAAGAATCTGATTTCGAGTACGTCGGTAGCAAAAAGAAGGAAAAATTTCAAAGACTAAACGCATTTTTAAGCCGCTCTAAGCACTTAAATTTTGTGGACACTCTTAGGTTGGCGGCCATCTTGGATTTTCTAATTCATTATTATTATAATTTATTACACCCACTATATCTGGGTCACAGAATAGGAAGTTATACCAGAAGCGTAACTCGAGCAAATATTTGTCCGCGTTTTTACAAGCGATTCGTCATCAATCACGCCATCCTGGCTAGTACAACCGGCACTTTGTACCTACCAAATCCTGATAAAAACTTCCGGCTGTACTAGCCAGGATGGCGTGGCCTGACGTGAGCGAGTTAAAATTTTCGTGGATAAGGGAAACGACTAGAGTTACGCTTCTGGTATAACTTCCTATTCTGTGTCTGGGTGTTGAAAGTCATGTGACCGGCCGGTGCCAGGGCCTTTTCCCGCCTTCCCAATGACAAAAAGGGAAAAGCCCTGGGAACGAGGTTGGGTCTGGGGTTCGCATTGATAGACTTCATATTTTCCCTTTATTTTTATACAGCAGTTTTCTTTCAGCAGTTGTAACGCCATACTGAAATTTCAGTTACTTTTAATAAATACTTCTATCACATGTAAAATTGGGTATTTTTCCAATATCACCTATATAATTAGTACAATATTGATATTGCATCGCGCACCGGGTCTGGGGTTCGCATTGATAGACTTCATATTTTCCCTTTATTTTCATACAGCAGTTTTCTTTCAGCAGTTGTAACGTCATACTAAAATTTCAGCCAGTTTTAATGAATACTTCTATCACATGTAAAATTGGGCATTTTTCCAATACCACCTATATAATTAGTACAATATTTCAGTATTGCATCGCGCACCGGGTCTGGAGTTCACATTGATAGACTTCATATTTTCCCTTTATTTTCATACAGCAGTTTTCTTGCAGTGGTTGTAACGTCATACTAAAATTTCAGCCAATTTTAATGAATACTTCTATCACATGTAAAATTGGGCTTTTTTCCAATACCACCTATGTAATTAGTACAATATTGATACTGCATCGCGCACCGGGTCTGGGGTTCGCATTGATAGACTTCATATTTTCCTTTCATTTTTTTACAGCAGTTTTCTTTCAGCAGTTGTAACGTCATACTAAAATTTCAGCCAGTTTTAATGAATACTTCTATCACACACATGTAAAATTGGATATTTTTGCAATATCACCTATATGGCTATATAATTAGTACAATATTGATACTGCATCGCGCACCAGGTCTGGGGTTCACATTGATAGACTTCATACTTTCCCTTTATTTTCATATAGCAGTTTTCTACGAGCAGCAAATAATGTCTGCTGTAACTTCATAAAAAATTTTCAGCCAGTTTTATGTTTCAATGTTATTTATATGTGTATTACTCCCGCTTAATTGAGAACGGGGTATGTTATGCGTATATGGCAAAGGGCGGGTTGAAGACAAGAATGTGGCAGACAGCCACGGAATTGTCCTGCTGAATAAATCTGAAATATTCTTTGTATATATTGTCTGAGCGATTCTGCTGCCATGCATTCCAATGGCAAACAATAATTTTGATGGATTTCCTAAACTTTTAATTGAATATCACAATCAAACTGAAATTTACGAATTCATATATATTGTTTTATAATGTTCCATTTATTTTAAAGTATATAAGTATATCTATTTGTTTATTATAAAATTTTGCCATTTCCCTTTAATACAATGTACATTAGCAAACTTAAGAGAAATTTACAAAGGTTCCGTAGCAGTTCTCATCGAGTCCAAGGGTGCTTTCTAACGACCTCAGAAAATGTGCCAGTTCACAAATATACCCTTTGACGACAACAGCACCAACGCTCCCATTTCTGTGATTATCGATTACTATTAAGCTGCCGTTCCGTGACAAAAACAAAACCGCTTTCTTGTCGTAAATGAAGAGTGCTGCTTTCATTCCAGCCATTTCCTGCAGGTGGTGTGCTAAACGTAACGAAGGGTTTGTATCAGCCAGTCGTACGGTTACTGGTTTACCCAAGACGATACTGACCAAACGACTTTTACACAAATAAGATGCTGCTTCCTCCAATTCCAACGTACGGACGCCATCTGCGGATTCGTTTGACAATTTCACCCCTGTTGTTGCCGCATACAAAATGGATGAAAACCAGGATTGATGAAGAGGCCCATCTGGAAAATCAACTTTGGTTGTTAGCCATATGTGCCCCAGAAGAAGAGATGTAAGAGTGCTGGCATTGTAGATGTTGGTACACGCATCGAACTGCCCGAAACCTTCAGGGAAAAGCCACAGTAACACACGTGTTCCAGCAATCTTTACAAAACGTACATTTCTATAAGCTTCGTCAGATGCAACAGTTACTACAGGAATAGATTCAGTACGAACATTAGAAGATGGATCAGGGACATTTGAGCAAATTGTGGCGGATGGCTCGGACGATATTGGTGGACCAAGCGCAGGTATTGAAGAGAGTGAGGTTGATGAATTAGTTTGGGCTGTGGTCGTTACTGACGTTTCTGTCGATGATGAAATTACTTCGGATGGTAGTGGAGGTGCTTCTAAGCTGGCTAACCTTGCTCGTTTAGCAAATGGTGGTGCGTTAGCCCTGTTCTTAATGACGTCAACTATCAGTTGTCCTTTTGAATTCCTGGTTAAGGTTCCCTGAAACTAAAAAAAAAACGACACAGCTATGTAGTGCAAGCGGTTACATATTGAGAGGAATAAACAAGTCTGGTCACCGCAGTCAATTGAACTAGTCAGAAAGTCAGAGCGCGTTCAACGTCGAGCTTCGAAATTTATCCTTAAGCTGCCCTTCACGTGTACAGAATCCTACAAAGACAGACTGATGTCTATAAATCTGTTACCAGTCTCTTATTGACATGAGTATCTTGACTTGATGTTCTTTTTTAAGGCCATAAATGGTATTATAACTGTTCCGAAGGAAATCTTGCCAAAACGATCTACTCCCTCAAGGCCTACTCGATCATCTTCCAATAACAGTGTTATCTCGTACCGTCCTCGTAGATGTAAGACAGCCACCTATCAACGGTCATTTTTTATTAGAGCAACTAGACATGGAACTCCTTACCCGAACACTTAAGACTAGATCATTTATCTCTAACGTTATTTAAAAAGTCACTATTAGAATACTACCATAATGCCCTTGTATCTTGTTACGACGTGGATGATGCTCGAACCTGGAAAACTGTTTGCCTGAAGTGCAACACATCGCGTAATCTAATCGATGCCGATCCCTGTTGCTACTAGACTAATTAGTTGATTTTTTGTCGTCTGTATTTTGTCACTAATTCTAACTAAAGGGCCCACAGTAATTGGTGTAAACTGTTGTGGTGTCCCCGCCTCTTTTTATGTCTCGTGTATATGAATTGTTGTGCTTGTATTGTGTACGTTTTTTGTCAAGGCGAAGCTAAATAAATAAATAAATAAATAATGAGAGGAATAAACAATTGTAAATCAAATGGAACCACTCATTTTGTGCAAACGTCTCACTTGTTATTGAAACTCTCGAGTACTACTGTTTCTGAGTATTGTATACTTTATCACCTAAAGAGCTTGACTAGAAACACTAACGAAAACGTTTCTGGCTTTCTGCGAATAGTGGTTCAATTTAATTCACAATATTCAATTTTTTCTGTATTTCTTACTCATATAAATATTTACCTGTCGACTATGACTAATCATCACCCGTCTGTTAGTCTTTTCATTATTGAAATGGGTTGCCAATCTCTCAACAAATACGGAGTTGTGTGCCGTTAAAGAGGTTGTAAAATAGTTGTCTCGGTTCCTCCTGTTGTTAAACTGCTCAGCCGTCTCGGAGTTTGTCTTTCCTGCAAGTTGATTGACGCACGACATTCTGCGCAAACAATCGGCTGGATCAGTAGAGTTTTTTTCATGAAATTGGTCAAATAAACAGTAATGCTCTGCTGATCCAGTCGAAGGGTTACACATCATCTGCTCTTCGTCGGTCGTGACTGCATCATGTGCGTCGTTCTCCGTGCCATTGGGGAACCAGGGCCAGTCAACTTCCAGCTCGCCATCTCTTGCCTTTTGGATATTTTCTGGGGTGCACTCTGCGACACGTCCTTCGAATGGCTGGAATACGTTGTAACCTCTATTTCTAGCATGAGCTACCACCATGTTTGCCATATCTACCACAACAACGTTTGGCACCGCAGCAAGGTTCATGATCATGTCCACATGATCACGTGGCCCTTCATGCCTTAAAAGCCACTTAAGCCCGTAGCAAATTCCGTGCGGGCAGGTCATTCCTAACCATCCACCTATACGCAAAACAAGAAAAATATACGTATTTAATATTAAACACCCAAGCAGTATTATCATATCCCTCTTTGAGTACAAGGCAATATCCTACTTTGAGCTTCCTGTTTTCAAGCGAGAACGTATTTCCGTAAGTGGAGGTTATGAAACAATGTCACTTGCAAATATGAGTATAATACACAAAGAACGTTATTGCATACTCTTTTATGTAAAATATTATCATGTTAGAGTTGTTTCATAATTTTACTTATCGTGTTGGTTCAGAAAATACTTGATAAAACAGCCAACTAAACGAATTTTCGCAACATAACTAACTAAAGGTACATCCCACAGCAGATCACCTCGTAGGAGTTGAACCTGCGCTTTCCACGTGGAAAGGAGACCGTCTGATGAATTATGAGTGAGAATGTACATTTGTTTTAGACTATACTTCTTAGACTATACTTCTTACCTGAACCACCCCACATTTTAGAAAATAGTTTTAAAAACTTTTCTTCGACATTGAGAACGGCTTTTATTCGGTTGATTATGTCCAGTTTTGAACCCTTATCGCTCACATTTAAACTCTGTGCCATTTCTCTAATTACCGGAACCTAAAATTCAAGTAACAGAAAAGATAAATAATTAAATATAAAATACAGTATTAAATATTATGTCGTGGTTACAATAAACAGACAAACAAACAAATAAAAACAGATAAACAATAAAATAAAAACAAGTAAGTGAAACTCATTCTGTATGAACTATTCATAAATCTGATAAAGAAAATCGACTAAGCAAAGTTGCACGTACTTTCCCTTCACAGAACAAGTCCATGAGTGTCTCAATGGAGCAGTTGTCAGTAGTAGCGCCCGCAGTCTTTATGTCCTCCTTATGATTTGCCTTTCGGAATTCCGAGTTGAAAAGCAGTCGTCCTTTTCGGCAGTCAGTACCAACAAATGGTGCCCAGAAATTATATGCCGGCTTGATTTCCAACGGATTCTTTTCAGTACCTGGATGCAAGGTTAGATATGACAATTATTTGGGTTAGTCTGCAAATTATGCCAGAACAATTTTTGGCCGATATTTTATACTGACAGTATATTCTACGAACAGCCCCAGTTACTAATGAATAAGTCTCTGTTATAATTATGTACATTTAATTTTCAGTAACATTCAACACAGAACTCGACAACACAACTTGCTAGATCTCACAAATCACCCCCAGCACTGTATATACCTCTTAGTATGCCCCGGTACAGTATTCCAAGGTTGACTTGTTCCCAGAACATCTCAGCATCAACTGTGTCAGGATTTGAATTTGACTGCATGTCTGGCAACTCAAGTTCACTTACTGTAAAAAAGGATTTCATGTCCGTTACGTAAGTATATCAATATAATACAGCAGGTTTTCTCATGTTGCAAACAGCAAAAGTGATATCTTCACCTGAGAAGATATGAATGATAATTATGTTCAATTCACAATTCACACGCGATAACACTTTTTTCCAATAGTATTTTTAGCACTTACATAAAAGGCGATGGTATTCATCGATTTCAATAAAACATGACTGATTTGAGATACGGATTTTATCTTTTCGTGTTGTCAATAACTTGTAATCGTTCGCTTCGCTAACTTTTAAGTGATATTGCTACACTTGAGGATTAAATTCGTATCTCCAATCGGCCATGTAATACATGAAGAATCTTGTAGATGAAAATGATCGAGTGGAAATTTATATACATTTATTAAACCTAAAAAAGCACAGCTGCGAAAAATGCAACTGTATGTATGCATCCCGGGCAGGAATCAAACCTGCGGCCCTGGGATAATTTCCATCTACAGTACAAGACCCTTCGACTATTATTCAATCTAGTGAGATGCCAACAAAATATTGATATTTAACCATGTAATATACATGTATACCTTCAATATATGAACAACTAACAAACTGTATATCATATATCATATATCATATTATCACGTACTGTACTAGAAATTGAAACTGACGGACAAGTTACGTACCTGCTAGCTCAAAGACCCCTTTCTTGTCCACGTCCAAGGTTAACAGTGGAGGAAAGTATCCACACAATAGGCAGGAAAACCCATAGCTGTGATTGGAAAGAGCTTCAAAGTGAAGATAGGCATTTAACATTGGCCCACGGGGTAATTGATTTGGATGTAGCTGTAGCCAGTTTTCGATGGCTTCTACTGTTCGGCTTACAGCATTGTGAACCTATAAACATTTAACATAATTATTTGGCTCCAATGTCCAGACGTGCAGGTTTAATTTCTTGCAGTACAACTCAATCTAACGGAGGTCAATTAATATAACCATATAAGTTTCCATTGCACATTGAAAAGCAAATTTAAGCATGCATAATATTAGCCAGCTATAACTCTTTTTTGAGGTGAATAACAGAACATTATTATGCCACACCTGGAGATGTTTTCTGATCATATCACAACATCCAAGACTGAGCACCCAGTTGTCATTGAAATTATGGACACCATCAGAAAACTCTTGATATCTGTATGGAAGTTTGCAGTTGCCACAAAATTTTACATACAAGGATATTCCTGTGAAATGAGAAGTCCCAATGAGAAAACTTATTTTAATTTGTATCATTTGCTTGTTCACATGTCACAAAGCAAGATTTCATAGCATCACAGACCATCAAAATATACAGTATTCTGTATATGAGTTGTATATAGATTTTTCCTAGATAATTTATGGGTCATCATTTAAGTACTGTACTTTACCTTCAACTATTCCCTTAAGGGTTACCAATTTTGCATTCTGAGTTACACAGTATGGCTCAGTTAGTGGAGTTTTGCAATAAAAGCATGTTGTCTCTGTTGGAATATAACTGAAAAATAATTAAAAACATACACATGTATTTAGCAAGTTCCACTGGCTAAGTCTGTCATTGCACAAACTGGCTGCATGTAACCAGTTCCTTCATATCGTCCATGGTTTACTACAGGCTATACCTGGACAATATGAAGGGAGCTGGGGATGCCTTTTTAAAGCAGTAAGTGGTATTACTACAACAGATATGTTTTAAAACAGCTGCACTTTATATGCCAATTATGTATATATACCTTTTACCAAATGTTTCTTTCTGAACTGTTAAAGCTAATGGGAGTTCAGCAGGGATTTTCTTCTCAGTTAATAAGTATTTAACAAATTTGGTAGAAACATCTCCAACAGGGGGATACGACATATTTCCAGGAATGGAAGAATTGATATCATCTTCAACCAAGGCATCCATGTCAGCGATATTATTATCAGTAAAAAGGAAATCTGGGCAAGAGGTATCAGCACTATCATCTTCATCCATGACCTCTGTACTAGATGTATGAATAACAGAAGGGTGCCACTGCCCAATAGCCCATTTTACGATGCATTTATGCATGCAGGAGCGGCGAGAAGGGCAGCACTTGCAATGGAATGAAGAGGATTCCTTGTCAAATGAAACAACCACCCGTTTACAAAATGACCAGTAATGTTCCCTCTTGATGTTAGCAAACACTGAAAAATGAAGGAAACGAGTGGACGAATCTGGAGTGACAGGCATTTGAACAACAAGTGGAACATTGTTGATGCTTGCTTGTTTTTGCCACTCCAGACATTCTGATCTCCGCTCTGTTTTCAACCATCTCAACCCATTTACAACAAAATCAAGAGATTCTTCTTTCAAGTGATCAGCAATTACAGCTGAAGTACCAATGAACTGTGTGGATTTCAAGTGATCACAAATGAAATTAGATTGACCACTTCTACAAGCAGTGTTGCTGTGTTGTTGGCATGTATCCACACTACAAATGATGGAGGTAGAGGATGTTGTTTTGAACTGACAATGGATGGGATGATCAGTTCCTCGAAGTTGTTTGCGAACCAGGTAAATACCTTGAGAGAGATCAACACAAATCCCATTTAAAAATCTAGACGGACTTATTCCCTTTCTTCCATCTGCAACATGCTTTGATTTAATGTGATTTGAGAGAGAATTTGGGTGAAACTCTCTGTTGCAATCAGCAAATGGGCATTTAACTCTAGTTGCTTGCTGACGTAGTGATCTTGATTGAGCAGGTCTGTATTCAAACTCCTGAAATGAGTGACTGTCTGCTGCACCTGTCATACCCATGTTTTGTTGTTGCTGTGGTGGCTGTTGTTGCTGTTGTTGTGGCGGCTGTTGCAACTGTTGCTGCGGCAACTGTTGCTGTTGTAACTGTTGCGGCTGTAGCGTCTGCTGTTGCAAGTATTGTGGCTGCTGCGGTGGCTGTTGTAACTGTAACTGCTGTTGTGGCAACTGTTGTGACTGCTGTGGTGGCTGTTGCAACTGTTGCTGGTGTGGTAAGTATTGTGGCTGCTGCTGTTGGTTGCTGTTGCAACTGTTGCTGCTGTGGTAAGTATTGTGGCTGCTGCTGTGGTAACTGTTGCTGCTGTAGCAAGTGTTGCGGCTGCTGTTGCAACTGTTGCTGCTGTAGTGGCTGCTGTTGCTGTGGCAAGTGTTGCGGCTGCTGTTGCAACTGTTGCTGCTGTAACTGTTGCTGCTGTAGTGGCTGCTGTTGCTGTGGCAAGTGTTGCGGCTGCTGTTGCAACTGTTGCTGCTGTGGTGGCTGTTGTTGTTTTTGTTGCTGCTGTTGTATTTGTTGCTGGTCTAGCTGCTGTTGTTGTTGTTGCTGCTGACCCAAACCTAGTTGCTGCGTTGATAGCTGAATGTTGTGGGTAGCACGAATGTGGCGAATTGCATCATTCCGACGTTTAAACCCAAGATGACAGCCAAAGCAGTGATAGTGGGTGATTTCCTTTAGGTTTTTGTCATCTGATCCCCGCCGACTTGATGGAAATGTGCAGGCCAGCTTACATCTGAGAATGCTAAAGCCTTTAGTAAACAAATAAGTAATTATGGTAGTATATTAACCCATTAAGGGCTAGCACTCCCCCCTTGATGGGTAAAAATCGTCTGGTGTTAGACAGCATAAAATAAATATGGCATTAGTCTGAGTAAAATTATAATAAAGTAGGGTGCATCAGGGCGCAATGCAACTATTGGGTTAAATGACCTAAACTAACTATTTTTGCATGGATAAAAATACAGTTGGTACTGTAGTTAAGTGAATTTGCTTTCCTTAAATTAATATTAATGAAAGGTAGCTAGGGTACAGTCCGTCTGTAAACAAAGCCTTTGTTTACATTTCGGTATTCAAAATATTGAGCTTTATTCGACAACTATTTATATTTTCATGCTTCTACAGTATAATAAATGATCAAGATATAACAATCAGGCTTTGCAAGAACATAAAATGAAATAAAAACCTAATTAAAGTGTTCATAGCAGGAGACTCCTATGTCCGCATGCGCAAACCGGACTGTATCGTATCTTTAATATTATATTACAGTACAGTGGTCCCCCTCTTATGCAGTCACCCATATTTCATGCCTCATATGCCTGCAAACTGTATGGCTGGTTTCAACTTTCAACATACGACTAGAGTAACCGCTGTCACACCATGATTTGGCATCAAAATGCTAATGCCATGGGCCTAGTCAACTGGTGTGCTTATGAGAGGCATTCACCTCCCTCCTCAAATGTTCACCATTTTGAATATTTATAAGGGGTGAATACTTCTCATAAGTGCACTGGCTATATGCCCAATGGTATCAGCAAAACACCGGTTACTCCAAAATCATAGGTGTCGTATATGAAGTTGTATGTCTATGTGTATCTATTCTGTGCTGCAACCTTCAAAATGCACTAGCTCGCCTCATTGATCTACAGTACCAAGCTAGCAACACAGTTAGGTCCAATTGAGGAGTGGAAATTCTGAATTAAATTACTGAAAATCATAAACATTCTATATACACTGGACAACTACTCAACAAAACTGGACTACTGGCTGTGCCTGTAAACCAGAAGAATAGTCTGAAAAACGAACTATCTGAACAATTGTGTATCACATGCACATCTATAGTGTACTCACTGTACTGTGTACAAATTGTGATAGGAATTGAAATACTATTATAAACGCGTTTTAATTTACATTCAAGTTCAAAATTCAGTGTTCAGTTTATTAATTATTTGCCATATTCCATATATATTTTTGGTTTGAGTCTTTGAGAAGTTTTATATAATCTTTATACGATCGGCTTGGATGATTTCATAGCCACGCGTCATCTCATTAACCCTCATACATTATGCATTTACAATTTTAATGACATGTAAACTAAAAACAAACATAAAATACCTGGAAATTCATGAATGCGGTTTTCCCAATGAACTTTCTTAAAGTGATCCTTCACTCGCGAAGGAATATCTTTTGCGAATTTGCTACGAGGACACAGCGGGCAGTGATACATTCCCCCACTACAAATTTCAGAACCACAGTCCGCTCTTCCACAACGCAAAAGACTAAAATCGCATGTTCCACCATCAGAATAAATAGATGGATGCGCCAATGGATCTGCACGAGCTTTTCGTCCGCCATTTTGCAATTCCCATTCCTCAGACGCGCAAGCTATGGCGCAAGTACCATAGAGATTATAAATAACACTAGAGGAGGCATCGAGTTTAAAAATTGGGAACGCAGCTAATGGGGGGCAAATTTAAGTCCCGGATATAAAATCGTGCTCTCATTGGCTGATTTGAAACTCGTCACCAATGGGAACACGAATACACATCCGGGACTTGAATTTGCCCCCCAATAGTCGCGTTCCCTTTTTTTTACTGAATTAAGATTACAATGCCTCCTCTAGTGTTATTTATAATCTCTATGGCAAGTACTGGGAACGTCATGTATTTGCTTGCCAACGTCGACTATTTGCTCTTGAGCGTCGTGTATTTGCTCTTTCACATTACGCAACTCATACCCTTATATGGAATACGTACTATAAGTCCCTATCGAATATTAACGATATAACGAAATATAAACCCCCAATATGTATAATTCCATTAGGTGGTCTGTATATATTCCCTTGATGGTGGAAAATACATCGAAACAAAAGAAAAATCCAATATTTTCTGCTCACCAACACGTCTCCACTCCTCAGTAAAAATTAGTGCATAGTCAGCATTTTTAGCTTGCAGCAGAATGCGTTTACTTCCGGAAAACACCAGAATTTGTGGTGTTCCGGTTTGGCTTGTCCCAGGGCTTACGGCAACGCAGGCAGCCGAGAAGCTCTGGGAACGAGGATGATTTGGTGCATAAAGCCACAGATGAGGTAAATACAGATGTGAATCTCACGGCAAATTATGTCACACCGATTAAATAAACTTTAAAATTGTATTAATTCACTATTTTATTAAATTTTGATAATGCAGAGAAATAAAACTATACATATTATAGAAGTATTCATGTTTTTTTTATGCCAGAGTTATGTTTTGAAGAATTTATATCATTCGCTGTTTTGTTATTATACATGAGCATCTGAAATTCCCAGCAAGTGTATTTCACGATTTTAATAAGGAATAGATAGGGGAAAAAACAAACTTTTGCTAAATAAAATGTTATGTTAACACTTTTAATAAAAAGAAATCAATAAAAGTGATCGCTTACCGATACTCTTGAAGAATTAATTCCAAAAATAGCCGTCGGTAGCGTAGATTTTTTAAAAAAACAATTTTTCGTCTTTCGAACGGCGTTTTCCTATCTCTTTCCTTATTAAATTTCAGAACGACACTTGCCAGCGCTCGCCGGAAGTGAGAATTCCGTGTCAGCAATTTGACGGAAGATTCACATCTGTATCTACCTCATCTGTGATAAAGCTTCCTCTATGTCCTCTATTCCCAGGCTCTATTCATTTCACTGGCCGCCTGGTGGAAATTCGTGGTTGAAATAGTGGAAACACAATCTTCCTTCATCAATGCCAAAATGGCTTCCAGTGTGGCGTTTGCCACATTTTTGATGTTCTCTGTTTTGGTGTTTCAAAACGTAGTATTTAACAATCATGGCATGGTTTCTGAGGCGAAATTAATGACAGAACGTTCTGCTTCCGCTGCTTTTACACTGAAAGTTCTTTATTGGTAAGTAGTGCCTAGTTTAATTCGTCTAGTTCTACAATCCAAGGCAAACATTTTGTATGAAGCATGTTTATTATTTACCCGGCGTACTTAATCGATCAAATCGATAATCGATGAGTATCGATGTCAATCAATACCAATCGATATTTATTAATCGATTGATATTAAGAATCGATGATTAATCGATGGCTTGTTTTGCTGTGACTTTCATCGATTTTTTATTGATTTTCATTGATGAAAAAATCCTCTGTTAATATGCATGTAATCAAACAAGTAACACCGTAATTTAATTAATACGCCCAACTGGATATTTAGTAAATATATAGAAAGCATCAAAAATATTGCTCGGCCGCGCAATACAAACTTTCCACACTGGTTAATACATACTTTAGGGGTCCATATTCATGTTGCCACGCATAACGTCGAATCGACGTTAACACTCAAACCCACCCACCCTAAATAACGTCGAGCGTGGCAGTCATATTCTTCAAAACTTTCACAAAATTGTCATTTTGCCACGAGATTATCGAGATAACGTCGAGAGAATTTAGATAAACCCACCCACTCATAACGTCGATTCGACGTTATGCGTGGCAATATGAATATGGACGTGACCCCTTAATGTTGTATATAACAAAACAAATGTGAACGGAATTCAGTAATGTTCAATGGATTAAATTTAGTTTTTATTGGCTATAAAGATCAAATATATGTGTACCTTCGAAAAATGGGAACATATTTACAATTTAGCTCAAACATGGCGACTATTTAGGGTACTGGTATAAATCGATAAAATCGAAAGCATTTTGTCGATACTAATCAATAAATATTGACGAAAATCGATAAAATTTTTTGTGACTATCGATTGGCCATCGATTGACATTGACCTAACGATATCAATTAAGTAATTAACATCGATTACCATCAATTGATCAACTGGATTTCCATCAATTAAGTATGAAGTCATAGAATACCGTCTTTACGATTTCAAACATAGATGAGGCCTTTTTTCATCATTCATTATTTTTAGAAATGTGTTAAAATTGGTCGAACATCAATAGACCCGTTCAGTAATATACTTTATATAATAACTATAGTGAAACATGCAATTTGATTGGTCAACAGCCGTGCAGGATTGGACAATCCTGCACGGGAAATTCTGAACAGAAATTCTTGCACATAATTTTACAAGTATGCTTCCATTGTAAAGTTTCATTGTACCATACCTTTCGACTTTGAAGTAAGTTTGCAATTATTGAGTCGTTGGTTTAGTTGTATGAATAAATTTCTGATCGATACTTTGCTGTTCAGCAAGTACTGTAGCAACACGTAGCGTTGAAATTCATCAGACCATGGCATGTACAACATCTCTCGCTTCAAAGTTCAAATGCTTCGCAATCTTCAAGTATTCAGGTCGAGAATCTTCAAAACTACTTTGGCTCTCTGTTTAGCGGGTTTTCCATTTCAAATTTCGTACATTTTATCGAAAAAATCTCTGTATTTTCGCTGTATATTTTTGCGAATTTGCGATCAAATTCTGTTCACATTTGTTGTTGTTTTCAATAGCGTGGAGTAGCGATTCTCTGATTGGTTAATTAACGATTGTTGTGAGAACTGCACATTTCATCAGTAATTTTAATCAAGTTAACTGTCGTTTCACTGTAGTAACCAAAAACAATTACCAAATGGTTTTCCTGTGCAGGAATCAGGATAGCATGATGCATGCACTTGGGATGTTGCTCGACTTTCGGAAAGCGTAAAAATACACTTGCCTACGGCTCGTGTATTTTCACGCTTTCTGAAAGTCTTGCAACATCCTGTGTGCATGGATCACACAATCCTGCACGGAAAACCATTCGGTATTCCTTTAGTACCAGCTATGTTTAAAACTAGGCTCTATTTAGCCAATATTGCAAAATATAGACAAAAAATTTGGCTATTTAATTGACTTGTTTTTGTGTCTGGTGAGCCACAATATAATTACTGAAATTGGCTTATTATGTGCAGTACATGATATAATTTATGTAGTGACTCATAATAATAAAAAACACCAATTTATTGATTTATTAATTAAAATCAACGCTTTATTCGAGGGATTGGTTCCTCATTACAATCAGTACGTTGTGGGTAGTATTCCAGGGTGTTAGCTAGCCGGACTCTTCCCAATTGAAGTAGCTAACGAGCTTTCCCAACTTGGTCTGCTGGAAGATTTTCATTTTTTCTGATGAAAAAGTGCATTGCGTTTGATTTTATATTATTATATCAAAGAACGTTTTATTTACTTTTTCCCATTAACTATTTTCTCAAAATGTATCGCGTTCCATTCATATTGGGTGTGTATTCACTGAAATGAAATGTACAAAACAAAGTATGATCAGTGTGCATCTGTGTTCATTCACCGGAAATGAAATATACAAAACGAAGTGCCATCGGGTGCATATTTCAGGGTTCATTCACCGGAAATGAAATGTACAAAATCTGCATCTAAGGAGAAACACGTTGGAAAAAACACTATTTATTCCTACGCAAGGACTTTGATCGGTCAAAAAAACTTTCCAAATTTACGTTTAACGGACAAAACTTTTTTTCTGGCTAACACCCAGTATTCATCCTTCTCGTTTTGCAAATATTTCCCGCAGAAAATGCAAATACTGTAGGTTTAACTTCAGCAATATTCATAAACAAACGTGATGTCGTCTAGATTTCATTGCAAACACACTTTTGCCTAGCAAGTTTAAATCGAGGTCAATCAATCATTAAGGCGGCTCCCCACATTAATTAAGGATTAATTGCATTAAGGAGGCTCCCTACAGTTATTAGCAGAATTTGAAGATGATTTAGTCAGATGTCATTCTTGCATCGTGTACATGAAAAATTTGTGGTCGTTTTACACAAGCCGATTCGGCGAAATAATTTTTGAGTGCTTATCTTGAAAAGAACCACACCAGTAGTTTTAAATTGTACGTAGTTGAAATTAAAGAGTACATAGGTTGGTAACCAGTTTTTAAACTTTTGTTTAGTGTGTTTTTCACCTTTTAACGTTTAGTACCATATTATTTTTTAAAATGTTCAAAATCTTTGACTTATCAAAAGTCGAACTAAATTTAAAACTTGATTTTTTAAATCCGCGCTGGACTATACAAATAAATACATGTCACCGTAATATTTATGCAATGTAATAGTTAATATCAAGACTTCTTGAATCGTCTAGTGTTTTGTTTTATTATAAACGTACTTGGTAGGGACGCAACTACCTGAAAAATATAAGGAGAATTTCGAGCACAAGGGCCTTCGCTCGAAACGACGAAATTCTCCTTATATTCTTCAGGTAGTTGTATCCCTACCAACGAAAGCTTGTTCACATTACTGCTTAGAGGGTTATTGGATTAATCCATCAATGTGCAAGACTCTCTCCCCTTGATGAGTAAAATTGTCTGGTCTTAGACAGAATACACTTGAGAAAGTAGGGCACATTGGGGAACAATGCAGCTTAATGGGTAACTCCAGTAGACATGTGTCTCTGTCTTATGCCAGGCAATTTTATTTGTCATGGGGAGAGTGCTGCCAGTGCCACTCAACAGGTTAAGCTGCAATGTTATAGTGATGCCTTATAATTACTTCATTTGCATTTTTTTACAGTTACTCCTGAGGATACCGAAGGGTGTTTGAACAGTATTCACGGTTCTTACACCAACAGTATCCCCATTTATCCATAGTTGGCGACAACTATCCCCCACCACTTGTAAATCAATACCTGGCTGGATTTATCAGTGTTAGTAAAATGGCACTGATTTTACTCATCATATTGGGCGATAGAGTGCAGCTTTTTGAATCATTAAACATTCAACCACCTGATATCTATCTGTGGGCAAAACAAAACAAGGTAATTAGTATTATGTGGTTATAATAGAGCTGTGTAAACTCCGGTTATTTTATCTCCGGCTCCAGCAGTCAAAACCCTGGCTTTGGCAAGGAATTTTTAAGGAATTTTCATATTTAAAAGTGGAAGCAGGCAAAAGTATTTCAGTGCAATTTCAGAATTTATCTTTTTTAAACACCTTTTTACACCACTATTAAGAGTAAACAACATAGTAATATATAGTAAAACAACATATAAATAGTAGTATACATATTAGTAAACAACAACTTAATTTTTCCATTTAATACCAAATGTTTATTGAAATATGAAATAATTTTTCATAATCTTGTCTGTCAGAGTTTTCCGCCTCCAGAAAAATATCCAGCGCACAGCTCTAGGTTATATGCCGAGAACTATACAGTATAGTTGAGCATAAGGTGAAAAATTGTTTGGTATAAATTGGTTGAATAATGATGCACTAAATACAGTGTTTCATAACACCTTACAAAATGCTACTACAGTACCATACAGGCATACAAATAGAACCATGGCTGTTAAAAATTGACTAATCAGCTTTGGAAGGATGTGCTGGATACTGCTTTGCCGAATACTGGGTAGTATACTCTGTTTAGTTCGCTATTTAATTCATATAACTCGTTCCTCACTCGGCGATTACTAAAGACTGTTTTTTCACACTAGATTTTATGAGTTTTATCGGCATGCACCCTAACTAACTGTTTATCGCTTCACGGGTTTGACAAGTCTACCGCATCTTCATCTTGATCTCCGCTCATGGACTCGAACAACTCTACCGGATCCTGGTCTGCTGGTCAGGGGAAAGTAACTAGATTACGGATAATAACCAGATACTCACATGTGGTGACTAGGACAACACTTCACTATTTTTCCTCATATTATTAATATAGCTCATTGTTTATGTAGTATGTGCTGTAATCTCTTTATCCATTCATTTATATAATACAATTTATGTAGTAAAGCGATTGGAATGCCTTCAACGCGGCTATACTGTAGTATAGGTCTGATAGCCGAAAGCTTGTCGAATAAAAATATTTGGTCAGAGAACATTTGAATTTTTAAAATATATTTTTTCCGTTAAGAAATTTTGAAACAGAAACAACCACTAGGTCTAGGTGTGTCACACATTAAAACTACGAAGCAAAAGTTTTTCGTGAAATAAACTCCTCCCTGACTCTGGCATCTGCTGTGAACAGTGAACTGTACACGTGATCCATGCACGAAGGATGTCGCGAGACTTTCGGAAAGCGCAAAAATACTCGAGCCGCAGGCGAGTGTATTTTTACGCTTTTCGAAAGTCGAGCAACATCCCAAGTGCATGGAACACGCTATCCTGCTTGGAAAACCATTTGGTAATTGTTTTATCAAATAACTACAGTGAAACAATGACATTTTGAGAATCCTGCGAAGGCATTTTAATTCCTCGTGCAGGATGGCCTGATCCTGCACGGCTATTGACCAATCAAATTGCGTGTTTCACTGTGGTTATTAATTATTATATAATATATACAGTATCATATACTGTATGCATCTGATTGGGTGATCGAATATATCAAACACGTCTGATTGGTATAAATGGTCTTTTTAATGGTAGCGGTAGTGGAATTCAAATCTGAACATCTCTAATACGTATAGCAGTCTGCTATAGATCAAATTCGGCCAAATATGTCCATCCCGGTCAGGTGGGATAAAGCCTTCTTATGGATGATTTTATCCCACTTGAGTGAGACCCCACCTATACATATACAGTAGCGCAAGGCGAGATCACACCTAGCCAAACAAGCCGAACTGGCTCGTTTCTCATGTGAACACAACTCGAATCTTACTGTATATGCGTTAGACCAGCTAACTGGAAATGTTCCCGGTTAACTGGGCTCATACAGTATACACGATATGAACAGGTCCTAAGTATAAAACTGTTCGCTCGTTATTCTACGAATCATAATCTGACTTGTAATCTTGCGTTGTTAGATGTATGCTGTCATGCTAATTTTCTTTCTGGCTAATGCTATTGAAGGACAACTTATCTCAACTGGTGCATTTGAAGTGGAACTTAATGGTAAATATTTATTCGCTGCACATTTACAGGGTGCGATAATTCAAGATTTTTATCAAAGAATTTGAGACTCAAGGTATACCTACTTTTCACGATAAAGTACAGATAGGCCTACATAAAGCACAGTTGTCTAAAAGGTATTATTTATTCAATAACCGGAAACTACAAGTTAGAACAAAAAGAAGCTCAGTTGCGTCAAACACATGCAATTAACCTTTCTCACGAAGGCCAAAATCCGCCATTAGACAACTCAAACAACGTGAAAAGAGACTTTTAAAAGTTGTAACTGTAAATTTACCATTATACAAACAACTAAAATACTAAAAAGTTGTATTTCGTGATGCGGAGACTCTCTAACGTGGGAGAGGCAGTGCCCCAAAAATGGCGGGAAAATTGGCCGTGAGAAAGGCTAATTGACTCCAACATTCCTTATACTTAGTCTCGTCTCATACTATCAGTACTCTGCTATCAGTCCAATCATACTTCATGCCAGAACATGTCGGATGTACGGACATTTGAACACCTTGGAAAGCTTGCTTGTCATATATGATTTAGATTTGGGCGCACCTCTTTATATCTGTTTGCCGTAGCAGGAAATAATAATACTTTTGTTTCCGGAATCCTAAGGCCTGTTTTATACGTCGTATTTTGGTCGCGTCGATTGCAATTCGTGATTCCCCTTATTACGTTTTCGTAGCGCTTTGCATTGTGGTTATAGTGGTATCACTGATATTCAAGATGGCTTGTTTTTTGTCCTGACCCGTGCAAGAACTTTTAAAAAAAGCGTCAGGTGCGCGATATCCAACAGCAAAATATTCGCGAAAACATTCAATATTTTCATTTCAAGGCTCTTGCCTCTATAAGACCAGTGGTACTTGGTTCAAAACAAAGACGTACTGTAATATTGGCATACTACTGTACCTATCGTACGTATGTAAATACGCGAATTATATCGCATCCTGGGTTTAGCTTTTTAACCATTAATATTCAAGAGGGTTTTCTTGGACCATACATCCATGCACACTCCAGTTAGCTTTATATACAATATATCTGGAGCAAGAACTTCAGTCATTCGGCCTATGAGAAAAGTGAAGCTATAACAAATCTATGAAGGTCGTAAACAGTTTAATGCCGATTTTTCCCAAGCTAAATTAATCTACAGTAGTTTTTTTTTTCCAACGGACCGTATCGCTAAACAGGTTATCAGGTTATTAAACCATACAAGAGTATTGTTCTTTAAATCGAGGTCAAATACGAAAACTCGACACCCGCGCATGTTGACTGCGCAGACAATAGAAAAGGGACTGAAAAGTTGTGACGTCCAATAGCTCCATCTTGGCACTTTTTGGACTCGAGTTGTCATTCCAGTTATATGTGAAGCTCACTGGCACGCGCATACAACCTCAATCGGGTACAATTCCTTAGTTTTAGGGGAAACAGTGTATGGAAATGTACAATGGCCGCACGTTTAACCTATAAAAATATAGTTATTCTTAGTTTTAGAACGTACATATTCTTTGTTTTCAGATATGCCTGTGTGGTCAAAGTTGGAGTCCGGTCGTTTACCCCATCAGGAAGAACTAATTCACATTATCAATGAACAACTTAAATTTAGAGCTTAATTGCAAACATAAATAGATTGTAATCACGAAGTAAGTATTCAGTTGCTCAAGTTTTTGGTTAACTATCAGTTTATTGCCTTTTCGATTTACCGTAAGAAAACACATAATGGGTTAACTGGCATACGAACTTTCGTTTATGTCTAGTGGTTTATTTCGTTTATGTCTAGTGGTTTATTTCGTTTAGGGACCGGTCATAAAGTAACTGCTAGGGTGGGCCGGAGTGATTTGGGATGGGCCATGGAAAATCTTTGGGCAGTTTCGATGGGCCGCCAATTATTTTTGTATGTCCACCAAACAAAAACCCATATCTAACTTCATGACTTATTATGATAAATATAATAGCAAATAAGATTTTAAAGTCAAACATAATACAAATCTAACAGGGCTGTGACACTGCGCGGAGGGCAGTAGGACAACTTGCCTCCCCGAGAGAAATTTAACTAATTTTATAATGTGATTAATTATGCTTGTAACAGATAATTATGCTTGTAACAGATAATTATGCAGTCAGTTTAGTTTTGTACATTGTGTGCCATTGATCTGATCCATCCATATAATATATGATTATTGTAGCTGTTAATAACTAGGGTTAACTAGGTACTTTCCATACTAATGAATTTAGGTAAGATTGTCTTGCAAGTGGGTTGTTCTGACAAAATTATCCAGCCAATATCCAGTACATCAGTACATGCATTCATCATTCCTGTATTAATGCACCTATCAATGTTAACCCCGAGGGGGGGGGGGGTCGGGCAAAGGGTGGGGATTTGATCAATCAGGTGGTCCTATGGGTCGGGATTTGGACTGACACTTTTTTTCTAAGTGGCCCGAGGGTGGGGATTTTTGACAGATTAACACTGATCTCAGACGATATACTGAAGAAACCTGAGCCAATTTTAGAACAAACTCTGACTCGTCCCCAGTCGCCCTGCGTTGTAGCTGTCAACGCCTAACCCGCGAACGGGCATATCCTCCCGCACTAAAAGGTAACGAGGGACTGTGGAAGAGTCAGGAACAAACTGAAGACTGGGCACTAGTTTATCGCTCGCTGTCTCGCGCGTTGTTTTTACAAGAAATATGGAAATTTCTGGACAAGAAATAAACACTTAAAAGCCATTTTATAATTATATTAATATCGATTTATACTTGTATATTAAATGTTCACGTTACGTACTATTTAAAACACGAGTAGGAGTGTGTTTTATCAGATATAAAACGCGAGGCGCACAACTTAAAATACGAGTACAAAAGAATACTAATTAGGGCGAACAATTATATTACAATATTATTATATTATTATTCCTACAGAGACAGACTAATATCCCTAAACTTTCTCCCACTTGAACACAGGCGTGAACTTTATGACCTAACACTATTATACAAAATCAAATACAACCTTATTAATGTCACCTTTAACCAATACCTTACACCTGCAACTAACCCCTATGCCACACGCAACTTCGACCCTAACAACTATAACATAATCGTCTCCAATAATCAAGAATTCTTCCGACAATCCTATTTCCCACGCACTGTCATTCTCTGGAACAATCTACCACCGAACATCAAAGCCGCCCATTCCCTACAGATCTTCAAGCACCATCTACAATCTTATTACAAAGCCAACCTGTTTACCTACATACCACCATAGTTAATCTTGTTCTATAATTCGTTGTACAGTATCCTATATGTTAAGTTCCATGTAATCTGTGATATGTTCGTGCATAATTGTCCTAGTACGTCTCGTTATCCATTAATTGTTAAGGGGTCGAATATCAATTGGAATTTAGTTTCTGTTTTCTTCTCCTGTCGCAGCATTCTCTAGTTATTGTTATTGTTATCTCTACGTAAATGTATATCTTTAATGTGTGTGACAAAATGAATAAATAAAATAAATAAATAAATAGAATACTGACAATATAATTATATAAGAATACTGTGTTTTATTAGCCTGTGTTCCAGTCCACTACACCATGGTGTGGCGCAAGGTATATAAATTATTAATGAGTATTTTAAGTTATTTTGAAACGTTCTTTATGTTTGTTATACTTTTAAATTATACCGCCAAATGTATTTGTGTAATTTCCCTATCACCTGACATATAGAGTGCACGAGAAACCAAATACTTCAGTAATACAATTTCATCCCGGGGGTGGGGAATTTGTAAAAATGTCAAATCCCCACCCCTTGCCCGACCCCCCCTCCCTCGGGATTAACATTGATAGGTGCATAATCTCTAAACAAAAACATTTATATTTAGAAAGCAAAATGACAATGTAATGAGGAGGGAGGGTTATATATAGAGTATTAGCATTTGAAAATGGTTGTAACAATTTTGTTTAATTAACTCTAATGTGTAAAACTAAAATGTATAGTATAATTTTAACTGATGACGTCTTTACCTTTATTATAATAACACTACATTTGATGACAACTTAGTTGGACTGTTGTTTTGAATGGAATTACAGAAATACAGGACCAGGATTTAATTCGATATCTCCTGAGAACATTAGTTTCTTGTGATATTGTTAATTGGCAATATAATGCCTGCAGCCAGAGTTTTGACTGTTTTAATACACTGTAAAATATTACACAATGATTGTTTTTATACTGTATAAATGTATATAATAAAATGTGGTATTTGACTACTTACCAGATGAGGATAAGTTTCCATGTTGATAGATAACTTTGGAATAATATCACAAGTAGAATGGTGAAAACAAGACAGCCAATTCAAGATAAAATCAAGATATTTTTGAAGCCAAAATATGGCAAAGAGTAACACAACTTACACGAGGCCAAACTACGCCTGTTCGCAGGTTAGGTGCGAGCACGACGTAAACAATTGATGTAAGCTAATCGCTGATTGGCTTAATTATATAAGCTCTTCGCTGAATGGCTATGGGTAACGTTAATAGTAATCTGCTTTGCAGATACAAAATAAAGATATACACAGCCACAGTATTGATATATGTTCATACCTGCAAGTTTTTTTCATTATAAAAGTGTATTTTCCCAATTTAGATTGGGTGGGTGGGTCATGAAATAAATTTGGTAAGACTGGATGGGCTTTGAAATTTTTATCTACATCCTAAGATGGGTCACCAAACTTATTGGCAAAATTTGTGATTTACCTCCAGCCCACCCTAGCAGTTACTTTATGACCAGTCCCTTATGTCTGGTGGTTTATTTCAACCCGCATTCCATTGCGTTCCAGAAAACCGGGATCATGTAAACAGCCCCTGACGGGTTGCAACCAAAGTTTGGCCGCCCGCTAAGATACCTGCGGAGAAGGCTAATGGCTCGTTTACACTTGCAATTTTTGCTGCGATTTTAGGTGCGATTTTCGTCTTCTAATGCATGTGAACGAGTGGATAAGTTATGAATGTTCAGATGAGGGTACATGTACTCAGAACATTCATAACTCATCCACTCGTTCACATGCATAATAGAAAGATGTTTACTCGATTACGCCTTGTGTAGTATATTATAGAGGTTCAGATTTGAGTTCCGCTACCACTACCTCTAACTGACTTACAGTAGTACGCACCTGATTGGTTAATCCAATATATTAAACGCATCTGATTGGTTGATGGTCCCTTAATAGTATATAGTGGTAGTGGAAGTCAAGTTTGAACCTTTATACCGGGTGTCCCAAAAAAAAGTACTCCGGTTTGATACTCCGGTTTGATTCTTAATAATTTCAAAGCGAGTGAAGCAATTCGACTCAAATAACTTTCATGAAACACAGGAAAGGCTAACTTAGATTTTGATATACAGGTATTAGATGTTTTCGCTCATTATTTACTGAGATACTAACGTTTGAATTTATGCAAATTTTTGATCGATTTTTAAAAATACCCAAAAACAGGTTAAGGAGTAATAAATTTTCTTGAACGACCTATTCATATTTTGAGTATATAGTCTCAAACGAACAAAACAAAGTTGACTGTTTCTAAGTTTGAATAGGGTGAATATGGTAGTTTAAATAATACTGTTCTAGCCATCTTTTTGCGAATATATATTACTGTATCAGCGCTATATTTTTTATACATTTTGTTCCAAGAATGTTGCATGTCTCTGGGGAGTTGCATGTTATGTTATGTTATGTTCAGCGTTATGTTATGGTTTAATTGTGTTTCGTTTTGAGTATGCCAAGATTAACTAAGGATCAAAGAGTCTGGATTTGTTTAGAGCATGTAAGATTCCAAAACGCGGCAGAAGTAAGCATGGGTAATACTCCTGCCCCGACAACACGAACAATAATTTGCGCAACGCACAAGAAGTTTTTGCGTGAAGCGACATGCCACGACGCTATGCATGGTCTCCGACGAGCTATAGGCAATGCATTCGTGTTAGAGGTCACGCGATTCCGAACGAATAAATCTTGTTTGTATTTTGTAAATAATAATAATACTTCGTTTCACAATAAACATTTTATCAAGTTTCATCAATTCACTCATAATAATACGTCTTTAAGTTGAGCAGCGCTTGTTTAATATTTGATACGCCGTTTTTCGCAAATTCTTGACACATCCAGAAATATACTACCAAATTTGAACATTATAATATCTCGCTCAGTTTTTTTATAAATATACAACTTTACTGTCTGTAACATATCAAAATCTAAGTTAGCCTTTCCTCTATCTAATAAAATATATTTGAGTGTAATAGCTTCACTCGCTTCAGAGTTATTAAGAATCAAACCGGAGTACTTTTTTTTGGGACACCCGGTATATATTGAGCGCAAGTGTGCGTTATTTCAGCGCAACGTTCGTTGTCTTCCGAAATTGATCTCAAGCCTGGTGGATTAACACACGCCATTTTCATGCACGATCTGTTTGCCTTCGCTGAATATTCCGAGTTGAGCTCTCTTAACACTGTAAAAGACCTGCGTATAATATGTATACATTATATGAGTACGTGTTTAACGACGTTTGTTTCGTTTAGATCCACGACAACATTGATCGTGGTAGTTTCCAAATGATGATGAAAGTTTACGTCAAAACTAGCATTGAAGCTCGCGGCCTAAACTGGATGCCTTGCATGTTACAAACTATTGTGATTACTATTGCCGTGATATTTCTAGATAGTCCAACATTTTATTATACAGTGTGTAAATACAGCTATACAGTATGTATATCATTAATTTATTTGACATTAATAAATTTCTGTGACGACTCGGATGATTAGTACTTTGATTCTTCCTTTTCCTGTCGTTAAAATACGTCTATGGAAAAAATTGTTGCCGTTGTTCGTCATGAAAATAAGGACCTTTAGCTAGTAGGACGACCATTCTCGTGCCGACAGCCCTCCCTACGCGCCGTTAAATTAGAGCAATTGCGTTCGTTCTAGCGATTCAGATGTCACAATGTCAATGATATGCTTTTTGCCAGAGCCCCTCGTCGCGCTTCGTGGACGGCTCATGAGGGCTCTGGGTATGAGAATAGGCGACGACGGCATTCTCGTACCCAGAGCCCTTCTTACGCGCAGTGCGACGAGGGGCTCTGGCCAAATCCATAACCGGATACCATAAAAACATGGTAAGAAAACAATATCCGGTGTTAGAACTAGCCAATCAGATGCCAGTTCGGATATGGATTTGGCCAGAGCCCCTCGTCGTACCGCGCGTAAGAAGGGCTCTGGGTACGAGAATGGCGACGACGGCTATTGATAAAAAGAAATTTTATGATAGTGTAGAAAAGAACCGAATAATTAAAAGTCAGTCCTCGAGAGTTTTAGACGTCGTCCTAGGAAACACAACAGCAAAACAAAGATTGTTACATGCGCACGTCTTATATACAACGCCTGCGTTTCACGCCTCCAAAAGTGGTACGCCGCAAATTGGCTTAGTAGAAATTTTCTCGACCATAAATTCTCTGCATGTCTTAATATCCTAAAACTGGATTCATTTCATACAATGGATAATACAAGAGAAGTTTTCCTTATAACGTTATTTATTTGAATTGCGCGTTGCCGTCACATGCTAAAGGTCCCTATTATATATGCAAAAGGAGAGCTGTTTTTCGGGCGAGTTTGTTTGAGGTGTTTATCAGATTCAGAGAGATGTCCGTTTATACACGAATGATCCATTGAAAATGTAATGCAAATGTACGACGTCAGCAGAGTATAATGAATTTCCATGTGAAGTCATCATTCACTTGCATGTGCGCAGACCTTGGCAATTAAGACGCGCATGCCTTATCTAATTGTACCAGTGAATTGTACCATCTCCCTTTAATATCAAGGCTGGGACACTAGGAATCATAGGGATAAAGACTTAGGCATAGGTTGCAGGGTTTCTTGTCCCTCAGAGACACTCATTAACAACACTTTCCAAAAATATATTTTCTGACAACTTTTACTGATCACCAAGCTATTTCAACCCGAAGATATATTAGAACAATAGTCGTTCTTATCTTGTTATGAGCTTGGCTTGTAAATCCTTCCTCATGTCATCTACCGCTTTTTTCTCGTTCTCATGTCGTTGTAAAATAGCCGGCCAGCAATGTCTGCGGTTCCTCTTCAGCTTTAGACGGCACTTTACACACACTTTTGGTTTTTTGATGTTATGGGTTTTGGTATTGTTTTTGCATACTCCAATGCCTTAAAAACGAATAATCGTATATCATCATCATTAAAAATTAATATTATATCGCTTTTCAAAATTCTCTATTCTGATTGGTTGACAAGCGATCCGTAACAACCCATATCTAGCCTGCATGGCAGGCGGTACGTAGGAAATACCGCCTGCCGCAAAACTGGGTTAGATGGAAAACACGGAGTCGGAGTTCCGGAGTCCCGGAGTCGGAGTCCCGGAGTCGGAGTCCCGGAGTCGGAGTCCCGGAGTCGTCATAAAAATACGGAAAACACGGAGTCATATGGAAAACACGGAGTCACATAAAGATATGGAAAACACGGAGTCATATGGAAAACACGGAGTCTGACGTCAGAGAAAAATATGGAAAACACGGAGTCATATGGAAAACACGGAGTCCACCATAAAATATGGAAAACACGGAGTCTGACGTCAGAGAAAAATATGGAAAACACGGAGTCTGACGTATTGTCAGCGTGAAGTATGGAAAATAGTAATTAAATAATATATAATTTATGCGAATATAAACAAACGGACGAATTTATAATATAACGAATTGGAAATTTTCTGCACTAATTCTGGTTATTTCTCTAAGGCCATGGGAATGAAAGTCATAGATTTGCGTCCGGATAATTTTGAAAAAACATGCGGGTTTTTTTCATTATTCATTATTCATTATTTTTTTACCATCCTTTTGGGTGGTAAATACAGAGATCAAAACACGAATTACCGTTTACGCCACGGAATTACATATATCTCGAGCTCACGCAGTTGCAGTACTGAAGATCTGTGTGCCAATTTCGCCATTTCGGTGAATATAATTTGGAATTTGATACAATGTGGATACTGAGGACAAACACACTGCAATATGTTCATTTTATTGTAATCAATACACAATTTTATTGCTAATTTTATTGAGTTTTGCTTTATTTGTGAAAATAATGAATTTTTTTGTAAATAATGAAAATTTTAGGCGGTAGCTTTTGAGGCATGCGGGCGGAGGACGCAAATCTATGACTTTCATTCCCATGGCCTAAAATGTCGTGAAAATATGGATTATTTATTTTTAAATACAATCAAGCAAATAGTATTGTTTCTCTTGTCGTGTGACTTGTTCAGTTGTACAATATTTGAAGTGATTTTAATGCGGATTTTGTTCACCTCGTATAAAGGTATGTTGATAAAAATATAGTTTATATACTTAATACTCGGCTAGAACATTTCATAGTCGATTTACATGTAATATTTATAACACACAAAATCTTGACACAAAACAGATATGCTGCTTGGAAACAGCGTGCAATATTGTTATTTACTAATAAATAGATGCAGCCAGCCAACACACAAATCCGTGCAGTACATTAATGGCATTAAAAAAGTTTTCAGGTGTCCAAAAAATACCTGCACTATAGTGGTAAGTCTATACCAAGTTAATATCTCTAACATATAAGTTTTAGGTTTTTATATATCAAGCCATTGATATTTGAGTGATCAAGATAGGTATTTATAACTGACCATTTGTTCCAGGCTTAATTGCATGATACCATTGTAAAATTGTCTGGCGTTTATAGGCAGAGTAAAATAAAAAGTAGGGTACATCTGGGCACATATATTGCCACTTAGGGACCGATCGTTTATTACGTCTCAGGGGGGGCGGTGGTTTTTTTAAAAACATTATCAATAAAATATGCACCCCCCCATATTTTTTGGAAATGAAAAAATGACCCCCCTGTTCAACTATATAGATTAAAATTTAAAAATATACCCCCCCCCCAATTGCACTAGGCATTTCTAGGCATCAAACCTCAGTGCATCAAATATTCAAATTATAAGGCCTCGCGAAATTGCTAATTCAATATAATATCGAGTCATATATAAAAGCAAGATTGCGTATTTTGGCATTCAATACAAAACAGGAAAACGTTATACAAAAATATCATATTAATGAATGATATAAACATGTAAAAGTAAAAATGCAATAATATTTATATATTATTATAAAATGTAGATAAAAAATACCTTTTTTGAAACATTTTCCGCCATGTTTTTTTTTCAGGTGTAAACCATTGACTGCAATCATTCCGTTCAGCGGAGTCACTAAGGGCCTGTTCATATGATCCCGCTTACCAGGACGTCTCGCTTACCGATGATCTCGCCGCCTATCTATTTTCCTATAAAATTTTGCATTGTGTTCATATGAGAAAGCGACCTGGCCCGCTTGCTGAGATCTCGTTTGAATTTGCCGAAATCATAGGTAGGCGGGATGAAAATTTTTCCATATGAACACGCCAGCCCGCGTACCTGGATGAAGTCAAACAAGTCTTGCCGGTTTAATTTAACACTTTTTACTTGGTTTTATGTTTGTTTTGTAAACAAGTATTAAATAAGCATCTGAAGAAATACTTTTTCTTGTAAATAAACGAAGAAAAACACTAAAATCGCTAAGTATTTGTGTTGCTTGACTGAAATGTAGAAGTTTTGCATACGCTATTAATTATAGAACTACAATGTAATTTCATCTCGGCAAGCGGGACGAAATATTCCATATGAACGCACGGAAATATTCGTCTCGGTAAGCGAGACGTCCCGGTAAGCGGGATCATATGAACAGGCCCTAAAAACCATTGAACTAAACTTTCAACTATAAAGAGTTGAATGCTAAGAACTAGATTCCAGTCTTCTCTATGCAAAAATTGCACACAATGGCGCAATCTTGCTTGATTAGTTTGTATTTGTTTTTCTTTTTTTCAAATTCAAAATGGTAGATATATTTTGAATTTCATCTCATACACCAAATAAAGTCATTTTAATATGTAAGAATCGTTTGCAATTTCAAAATTTAACCCCCCCCCCTCTTTTCCTTTCGGGAAACAAAAAACTACCCCCCCAAAATAGCCATATTTAAAAAATTAACCCCCCCTCAAAAACCACCGCCCCCCCTGAGACGTAATAAACGATCGGTCCCTTATAATTATAAAGGGTTAATATAGAAATTTTGTATTTCATAAAGTATATATTACAACTATGCTTTTGAAAGGGATAATTTTAAGTGAAACCCACCTGTTGTGGACTTAAAAGTAAAATTGTGAACTGATGATGCAGAACCACTGGTAGCTAGGGATTGTGGGGCACTAAATTTACTGTTTTCGTAGATTTTTGTCCAAGCATTTAAGTTATAAAGAACAGAATAATATTGTTGCCACATTCATGTAGTTATAGGCAAATGGTTGATTTGTCAAATATCAATTATGGATTGTTTCATTATAAATACTGGAATGCTCATACTGGATGGTTGTACAATAAGCAAAATTTGCCTTAGGGCCTGTTTATATGGAAACTGGGCTGGCCCGCTTAGCAAGACAGCCCGGTAAGCAGGATGAATTTCTCTCGTGTTTATATGAGAAAATTTCACCCGCTTGCCGGGACAATTTTGTTACATTGTATTGTTTTGACAGTTGTTAAAAATAGCTTGCGGCGGGAACTTTGAACATTCATCCCGGCAACCAGCCTATAGCCTGCTTAATTGTGAGTGTTTATATGGAGAAATTTCCTTCCCGGTAAGCGAGATCTCGCCTCTTTCAAGCGAGT